TGCTGGGGGGGGGGACGCGCAGGCCCCCCCCCCCGCTGGGACACGCAGCTGGGTGGCACCGAGGGTGCCGGGTTCCGTGCAGCCCCCCCGTTACAGGGTGCGAGGAGCACCCTGAGCCCCCGCCGGGCTCGCAGGAGCCCCCCGCGCCCCGGAGTGCCGGGAGGGAGGCGGGGGCGTTGCCGGTCCCTGTGCCCCAGGTGAAGGTGGTTGGGCAGTTGGAGGGGGCTGTATTTCCATCCTCCCCCCACCACAGGGCCCTGCGAGCGTCTCTGAGCGCTGCAGGGTGGGGGCTCGGGGGGCTCCAGGCGCTGGTGGCTCACGGACCCTCCCCAGATCTGGCTGGGGGCGTTTGGCCGCGTGGCATCGGGCGTCCCCGCTGGCGACGAGGTGGGTCCTTCAGTGCAACTCCTCTGCAGGGGCCAAACTGGGGGGGCATTGCTGCTCTGTGGCGCCTCGGGTGCCCCCCCCCCCCCCCCCCCCCCCCCCCGGGGGGGCCCCCCCCCTCGGGGCAAGCTGGGGAGGTGCTGCGGATGAAGGTGGTGGGGAGGGCTGGGGGGACTCTGCTGGCACAGGGGACGCTGCAGAGGATGCTGCCTCTCCGCCCTGGGGTCCCACGGGTGCCTGGGGACCAGCCACGCTCACCACGAGCACACTGGTGCTTGAGTGGTTTGGGGAGGCCACTTGCACACCTAATCCCCCACACTGGAGCCTCACCCAGCGAGCTCCATCTGCTCCCCACGGGCTGGTCCCTGCTGGGCACCCAGTGGCCTCATCCAGGCTGAGCTGTTGCAGGAACCCTATAGCTGGTGCTGACCTTGGGGATGCTGCTCACACCTGGCACAGCCAATGTGGGACCCCCCCACCCCAGGGCGGCCGCAGCACTGGGAGATCGCTGGTGGGGAGGGGATGGGGTTGGAGCACCCCTTCCCATGGGCCTCGCACACCGTGCAGGCAGGGTGCTGTGTCTGGGGTGAAAGGGGACCCCTCGGGGGGCCACCCCGATGCTGTGCTCCCACTAGGCTTCCCCAGTTGTGACATTGCTCAGTGGGGAAACTGAGGCACAGGGATGTGTGCTGTGCCCGCATCCTGCACACATCCCACAGGTGCTAGACCCCCAGCCGGCTCCCACACGGCTGCTCCTGGGGGGTCTTTTGGGGGTGTGGCGTGACTGTTCCCACCTTGTCTCCAACACAATGCTTCCCACGTGCATCAAATTTGCTCTTTTCCCCTCATTTGTCATCTCTTTCATTTCAGGTCGCAAAAAGCAGCAGTGAAGGAGGATGAAATCCGTTGTGGCCTGATAAACACCCCGGTAAGGCGGGTACAAATGAATGTGAGAGTGATGGCGGCACCAGGG